TTTGTTATAGCCATAAGCAGCCTCTCCACTTATCCCAACAGGCAGCACAAAGTGATCATTTTCGACATGTGTCCCAACCTAAAACCTGCTCTGGACAGCCCCCCACTGTTCGCAACTTTCCATCTTCAGCTATTTACTCTCTACTTCCCTTGTTCTCTGAACTCTTAGTCCACCGCCTGGGCTATTTGCTCCAAAGGCTGGATGTAGGCATCTTTCTCCAGGTTGGCTGTCTGATTGTTCCAACCACATGCCCCTGAGTTGATAGTCATAGGGATTTTCCTTTTCACTTCCACCTCCCTAAAGACAGTGATATAGTTTACAACCCACTTCATAAAGTAAGAATCCATGAGCTCATATATAGAGAAGGATGAAAAAAATGAAGAGTGAAAAAGAAGAAGAAAGGAAGAACGGAAGGAAAGACAGAAGATTCTCCTCACCTTTGAATGTCAACTAACAAATTTAGAAAAAATGATGGGATTAACAAGTTAGCATCCAGCATAAAAACTCATTCAGGATGCTAAAACCAGTGGGTAAAATTTTAACGAGGAATAGGATATCCATATAGTCCCAAAGTAGTTCTCTCTGAGACATATCTGAATTACAAAGGGAAAAATGGTCACTTAGGGTGACCATGTTTGGGCTGGCCCAACATTAACTAAGTGATTAGAGTTACCAGCATAAAACAAATCAACATCCAGTTCCTCCCTGTGCATTGAGAGCTACACAGCACCACTCCTGTGGTATTGATGCCAAAATAAGAACACAGTGATGTAAACAAGATTGAAGTTTGTCTCCACACAAAAGACCCGGGTTCATGCAATGCTGGGCATTTTTAGATTTCCAATTTCCTTCTATGTTGTTTGCGTGGCCATGACCTCCTAGGCTGGGGTATCCTGGGCGGAGGTAGGGTGAGAGTGGGTGGGGAGATGGCAGCTGGCAGCCATGTTCCAGGCAGCAGGAAGGAACAAAAGGATAAAGAGCAAAAGGATAAAGAAAAAAAAAAAGCAAAGATTCCCCATGCACCATATCTTAGAGAAGGTTTCCAGAGCCTGGCCCAGGACACTCTGCTTATACCCCTTTGGTCAGAACCACCAATGTGGCCACACCTAGCTGCAAAGGAGGTTAGAAATACAGCCTTTGTTTAGTGAAACCATGTGCCCAGCTAAAATATTCTCTTACATGATGGATCTGATGGGTACAATGGACATGGGAGGACAAGTAGCCATCTCTTCTGTTTCAAAATAGCTTGTTTATATACCTCCAGCTCTTTTTATAAGGAACTCAATTCAGGGCTCCCTCTCCACCCCATACACTTGCTACAAACACAACAAGCCCACGTGTGGGCCCAGATGGGCACAAAGCTCAGAGCACATATCCCTCATACTGTTAGGGGGAAAAGGGTGTCCCAAAGCAAATTCCATATAGGCTTTGTGGACTCCACCCCCACCCCAGGTCAAAGCCAAAGACACTGGGAACTCCAAATCCCATCACCACCAAAGGGAAGGTGGCTGGGACCTGAGGGTGGGGTTAAGCAGCCAGGTGGATACAAAAGGCAGACACGTGGGCTTTGGGGGAGCCCCCATTTTTGGCTCTCCGCCAGCTCGCAGCATCCGGCCAGCTCTGAGAGTGACTTTGGGTTTCCAGGTCGTCGGATCAGGTAGGACGCATTAAAGACTTTATTTCCCTATTTTCTCCCTGAGTTGTACATTTTCCTTATTTCTTTTTCTCTTGTAAATAAACCTTTTATTAACCCTTTTGTGTGTGTCTGTAGTAGAGTATTCATAAGTCCCTTTAAAGCGCGCGGGTGAGGACCCACAGCCAGGAACCCGTTTAATATCGGGGTTGCTCTATAACAATACCTCCATCCCCAAACACCTCCAGGCTGACACCATGGCCATGGCTGGGCACAGCTTGAAGGTTTGGATCCTGTCCTATTAGGAGGGACAGCTGCCACAGGAACTGCCCCTGGCCTCTGTGTTGACATTTCAGCTGATTTAAGCTGAGCTGACCAGAACAGCCAATCTTTGTTCTTTTCCTCTGTTTTCTAGATAAGTGAGTTAAAAAGCCTCTAGTAAACAACATTTCTCCTGACTGTGGCTTTTCCAGAACTCTAGGGAAAAGAGTAGATTGGGGTTTTGGAGATTAGCACACGGTAGCAAATGTGCGATAATTCTCAGTGTTTCAGGTGGACCTGAGGATTGCCAGAGCCAAGAACACACCGAGATGGCACCGCCCTGTGGGGCATGCTTCTTGCTCTCCCCCACCCACCCATCCCCTCCAGCTCCACCTGCACAGGATGTGGGGGTGTTACAACCTTGGGTTGAGGAGATTAGGAATTTAATATAATTTTGAAGACTATAAACTCTTTGTGGGAAACCTGTCTCCAGCCCAGCTTAGTTTATGATATTTCTTGATTCCCGTGTGGTAGAGGTGGATGAATGAGGATAATGAAATCTGAGATTCTGGAACGGACAGTGTGTATCTTTTTTCTTACCACGGAGCCTGTGATGTGGGATGGGTCCTTGTACAATTAGCTATAGCTTATAAGGATTTTCCTCGGCCAGGAAATCTAACCCTTTTTCTCTCCATTAGACATGATTGAACTACTCACTCTTAAAACCCCAGCTCAGAGGTACCCTCCATGAAGCCCTCCTGGAATTCCCTAAGCCCAGTTCAGTCTTCCCCTGGTACCCTGTGAGAGGATGGTGTGAGCTACAGGGTACTTTCCTTGGTTCAGAAGCCTGGTTCAGCAGCTTTGTAGCTGTGTGACTTTGAGCAAATCTTTTAATCTCTGTGCCTTGGTTTCCCTACCTAAAAAAATGAGGTTTAAGCACAGGGGACTGAGGTGATGGTGCACGGGTGCATTGGTGAAGGAAACTCTATGCAGACTACACCTGAGGGGGTGGGGAAGCAAATATTGCTTTAAAATGAACAATGATGTAAAAAATAAAATAATAATAATAATAATTTTTTAAATGAGGTTTCAAAATAATATCTTCCACATGGGGCTGTAGTGAGAACTAAATAGTTTTACATGTTCTTTAAAGCAGCTGACCTCATAGCAGCTTTCTTCACAATAGCTAAAATGTGGAAGAGAGCCAAGCATCCACCGACAAATGAGTGGATAAATAAATGTGGCAAACGCATACAATGGACTCTTATTCAGACTTAAAAGGAAGGAAATTCTGAACCTGCTAGATGGACCTTACAGACATTGTACTGAGTGAAATAAACTAGTCACTGAGAGGCGAATACTGCCTGAGATACCTCGGCCCCTCCAACTCATAGAGACGAAAGGAGAATGCAGGTGGCACAGGCCAGGGCAGCAGGGACAGAATTTCAGCTGGGAGAGATGCAAAGCGTTCTGGAGGTGGGTGAAGACGGTCACACAGCAATGTGAATGTACTCACTGTCGCCAAACTGCAAGCTTAAAACTTAAGCTAAGATGGTAAATCTGATGTTACGTGTATTTTACCACAATTTAAAAAATCAGTAGTTTTTAAAAGTGACTGGCACTTAATAAGCACTATGAGGAGTTAGGTGGACATGTGGTTTATGTATGTGTTATCGCTCTCTCTCCTCCAGAGCAGGCACTGATGGAATTCAGCCCCAGTGCAGTGAGTACCCCAAGGGGGCACGCCCCAAGGGGTTGGGCCAAGTGTGCAGAGCCAAGGCCTGCATCTCAGGGGTAGATGGAGGCATGGGGCAGGAGGGAGAGGACCAGGCAGGGAAGATCCCAAACTGGAACTACCCCCAATGAGAGCTGGCAAGGGATAAAACTCATCCAGGTGAGCCTGGTGAGGATGCATAGCACCAGTCAGAGGGTTCAGAGGACTGGGAGGACTTAAGGAGGGTGAGGGAGCCCTTTACTCCTCAGGATATGGGGAGAGAACTTCTGCACCATAATGCTGGACACACACACCCCCTCCCAGTCTTCCCACTCTGGCATCTGAGAGGCAGCTGTGACACAGGGGACAGAGCACACTGGAAATGAAGGTGGGAAAACTTAGACATCACAGTCTTTTAAGAACAGGCTCCCACCCAGCTCCTAGCAGATCCCACCAGGAACCCATGAGGGAGGCCTGAGGCATCAGGATCCCTCTTATATCCAGTTGCGTCCCAGTGGGGGGCACCATTAAGCCATGCTCAGTTGGGCTATGTGCTCTGTGTAGAAATGAGGCCGCTGCCTCCAAACCAGGGGAGCTCATCACTTACCCACCAGATGGCCCACGTGTAACCCAGTGTCTCTTGTTCCTGCCATGCCCACAGCTCTCCTAAAGCTGTCACAAGAACAGGATGGAAGAGGCAAAAACCCCCTCTGCAGGTTTAGAGTAAAGGAACAAAGGCTGGGCCTGGATAGGCTCAACTCAAAAAGTATGTGGCAGAGGCTGGTTGCTAGCTCACCCACCTCCTGCCTACCTACTTTGTGCTAGCCACCTCCACTGTAGAGGCTAAGAAAGTGACATGCTTCTTTTCCCTGGCTACTGGGCAGCTGGGATGTGCCACTCGACACAACTGAAGTCTGTTAGGAGCTTCTGCTGTGGCTTTTGCTCTCCTTATAAGAAGGACAGAGGTTACTGATGAAGTCCACTTTCCTTCCATTTCCCAGCTTGGAACCTAGGACTGATTCCTGGAACTCTGAAAGCCATTTGAGATCATGAGGAAAAACAAAGTTAACCAATGAACTTTCCACAGACTATCTCTATTACCATTGAGTCAGTGAACAATATAGTGCAAGGCTATGTGGGAAGTTTTTTAAAATGGTGCTTGGGTTTTTAGTGTTTGCCAGTGGATATAACAGGAGACCTACCACATTGCCCTAGCTAGGCAGCAATTCAGTGACTCACCACACAAGATGAGGGGTGGCCCCACAAGCCCACATCCCCGGCCCCGCACAGATGCTTCCTTTCTACAGTCACCCAGGGCTTTTTTCTCTGAAGACCTCTTTCCCCATAGTATCAATATCACATCATAAGTTTGACACACAGGTTAGAGTGAAACGAAATGTTTTATTAAGCACATAGTGAATACATGTTATTTTCAGGCAGCTATATGGCGGGTACACAGCATGTCACTCAGCCCTGCTTGTCCCAGTCTAACAAGCAAGGCAGCCTCACAAGTCCCCCCAATTGCCCTCACCTTGCCCAACCTCTTCCCAAACAGCTAGAGCTCTTCAGCTGAGCCGCCCCAGGAGCGAGTCCTCTGTAGAGGCCCTGACACTTCAGGAAGGACACATTTGTAGCTTTTTTCCCTCAGCAACCTCTCCCTCCTCAACCTCTCCCTCCCTCACACACATTATCTTTGTTTTATAGAAACCATATCCCTCAGAAACTTCAAATGCTCAATACACCCTCATCCCTAAGGTCCATTTCCTCTACTAGACCTCATTTTGGTCCCTGTTCCCAGGCACACATTCTCGGGGTCTCTGTGTTTGCTGGTTCACCCACCTCCCTCTTCCAGCTGACATTCCACCGTGAGCATTTCTACAAACTATTCCCATTAGGTGCCTCTCCAGACAAGTCCAAAGAGGAGTCTAGTCACATAGACCCATTTGGGGAAGAGTTGAGAGCTCTATGTTCCCTGTAGTAAAGTGTGACCCAAGAAATGAAGCGTACTGACAGGATTGCTATTACTGGCCAAGTCTTTGCTAAGAGAACCCCAAGGGAAGAGGGATTGTTGGGTCCTCCCAAGCCTGTGGGGATGCCTAGTAGAAAGGCAGGTACACAGGAGGGGACACAGGTCAGGCAACATGGTTCTCACTCCAGCTCTGACACCAGTTTACTGTGTGTCTCTGGCAAATCTCTCACAGTCTCCTCAGGGACCGCAGCTTCTCTGACTAAACAGCAAAGGGACTGAACTCAGTAACTTTCAAGAGCTTTTTCAGCTCCCCTTTAGGGAAATAAAATCAATACTCAACTTGTGCAAAATCTTTTACTTTTCAAAATATTTTATATCAATGATTTTCTGCTCCTGAAAATTTCTTATAGGTTGTTAGATTAGGTCCCATTTCCCCTACCTCACAGAAAGGAAGTACGAGACCCAAAGAAGGGAAAAGACTCACCCAAGATCACCCAGTCATTTAGTAGCAGGGCTGAGACTAGATTTGAGGTCCCCTGACTCTTACCAGGGCTGCTACTTCCAGCTCTGCAGGGTGTGCACAAAGGTGCAGATTTGGGGGGGTAAGGAATGGAACCAAGTCATCCTTAAGGAAAGGGCACCTTTCTCTATTTGGTCTACCCCAAAAGGGCAGCTTGTCCTCATAGTCCTTCCAGAGGGAGAGAGGACACCTTTTCTCAATTAATCAGCCCAGAGGGCACCTTCCTGCAGTTTGTCCATCTGTAAGCATTTCCTGATTTGCACAGAGGCACCTTATGTCTTAGCACCAGTCCTGACTCCTGGCCTGTGCCTCATCTGCCTCCGGGCTGCATGACCAGGTCTGGAGCAAGGTTGCCAGATAAAAATGCACCCAGTGAAACTGGAATTTCAAATAAGTAATAAATACTTCTTTAGGATAAGTATGTCTTGTGCTATTTTGAGAACATACTTATTCTTGTTTATCTGAAGTTCAGTGAACTGGGCATCCTGTATATGAAGTTGTGAAATCAGCCAACTGACTGGAGGGAGTGCTCAGACTGACCCGTGTCAGCTCTTGAAAGCCAATTGTTAAATTTTTAAGAATTCTGTGAGCCAGTTGTTAAATCAGTGGGAGCTCAAAATCAATGGCGGTAGGAGTAATTACACCTTGGAAATTGGGAATTGCCACAAACCATGCACCCATCCACTTTCTTGTTTTGTTTTTCTTTTAGAACCGGTTCTGAAACACCAGCACCCCACTCTCTAGAGGCTTCCTTGTCTGTAACACTATGGGTAAAAACTCTGAGAGCATGTCCCTGGGGGTGGGATTACATCTGAGAGTAGCTGTCAGGCTTAGTAAAATAGAAAATGGAATATTCTAAGTATGTTGGAAACTTAGAATTCTAAAACAAGGATATTACAGTCTCAGAATTTCTGAAGATGGACTGTAGTTTGAAAGCAGGGCAGCGAGGCACTACTCATTGCTAAGCCCTCCCTAGCAGACAGATGGGCGAGCCCGGCCAGGCCTTGGGGGATTCCTATCTCAGGGTCCAGGCTTCTTGCGTGCCACAATGTAGCAGACCCCTGTGTTGGGAGCGCTGGAGGCCGAGTAGCTCTTGGGGCTATGCAGGAACTGCTTGATGTCAAAGCCGGCATCCAGGACCGCCTGCTCCACCTCCTCCTTCTCCAGGGACACACAGGAGAACTCGCGCTTCCCCACCATGTAGGACGACAGGCGCAGGGTGATTGTGGTCACCAGGTGGCCGCCGGGCTTGAGCAGCGAGGCCAGGTTGCGCAGCGCGGCTCGGTAGGCATCCAGGCTGCAGCAGGCGCACTCCATGGCCAGCAGTGTGAGCACGCAGTCGGCGGGAGGCAGCTCCACCGGGGTCAGCGGGTTGCCCAGGTTGGCATCACACTTAAGCACCCGCTTCACCACGGCACGCAGCTTCTCCTCCTTCTCCTTCCAGCGCTCACTGCAGAGAAAGGCAAGAATTATGGAAGGAGCTCGAAGGCCCCAAAGGCAACGCTCAGCCGGAGTCAACCAGAGAGTGGTGATCTCTCAGCACAGAACAGGATCGCTGTCCGGGAGTCCCTGTGTGGCCAATGGCAGGCTCTGCTCCAGTCCTGGCTTCAGTTTCCCTCCCCAGCAGGAAGGTGGGTAGAGGAAGTGGATCAGGTTGACATGCTCTCTCTGATTCCATGTGAGTCCCCTTCCCTTGACCCCTCAGAGAAATAAGGAGCATGGGTTAGACATTCCATCAGCACAGGTGCGCTGGAAAATTAGCTACAGATGTAGCTGTCTTAAAAATATAACGCTGAGTGATGAAAAGCAAATCTTAGAAAATAACATAGAGGTAGGTGACTAAAACTAAACAATAGGCTGTTAAGATATCATAAATATAGAGTAAAATAATTTTTAAAAGCAAGAGAATAAGTATACAATTCAAGTAAATGAGCACAGGTGGCAGAAACAGGGGAGAAACACTCAGATATGTAAGTCTACCCTATCTGAGCACTCTGGCTGGGGGGTGGGTTCACGCTGTCACACAGCCTGCTGTGCAGGCGCAGGACTGGTTTTTTTTTTTTTTTTTTAAATATTTGTTTTGTTTTTTTTTTTTTTAAAGATTTATTTATTTATTTATACAAGCACTGGGTACAGTCAGAAGCGTGGGAGGGTGAGAGAATTTACCAGAGTCAGAGCGGAGAGCAGAACAGACAGACTGACGAAGTACACTGCTGAGGGGAGCAGCGGGCGGCAGGAGGGGTCTGCACGCCATGTGGGACCCTCATCCAGTGGCCGGGGATCGAACCGGCGCTGCAGAGGCTGCGGACAGCTTCACAACCCAGCGCTCAACCTCCCCAGCACCACTGGGGAGGCCCAGGATTGGTTTTGATTATAGAGGGAGGAAGGGAAAATGGAAGGACGGAAGGAGGGAAGGAGGGAGAAGGCCCTACCACCTGAACCTTAGTGGGGCTATCTGACTATTTCACGTCTCACTGCAGACCTGTGATCAGACACTCTCCCCCCAAATTGCTATAATCATGAAACTTGGGGCCCATCTATAGTTCCAAAACATCTTATCCCATCCTTGAGGGGTCTATTATGCTAAAAATGTCAAGGCCAATGAGAGGCAGAGAGTCCTTTGAGAAGGAGGTTGACATCCAGCCCTGTCCCCAGGCCCTGAGCCCTACCTGTTCCCTTCCAGCTCACAGGCGTATTTCACAGCTGGGGTCCAGTCATAAGCCCCTGGATCTTTCTTCAGCCACTTGTTTAGCTCCTCCCTGTTGCGGTCAGTGAAGTCAGACATAGTGATGTCTTTGAACACCTCACAGGCGGCGAGCAACTGGTAGATGGTAGGGCCTGAGCCGATGTCGATCAGCGTGTCTCCACGGAGGCCGCCTGAAGGAGGGAGAGAGCTCACTGAGATTCTCAGGGAACCAGTGAGAGAACTGAGGCCTGAGACAAATATCCAGGTCCTACCCTCAGGGGAAGCAAGACCAATCACAACCATGATCCTGGACTGATGCTTCCATTATGCCAGGCACCATGCTCAATGTTGTCTAGGCATTCGTGTCCGTTATATGCCTCAGAAACCCCCTGTGTGGTGACCACTGTCTTTATTTCCCATTTCATGATTAGAAAACGGAGTCTGGGAAGGCCAAATAATTAGCCCAGTATCTTTCAGCCAAGAGCATAACTACCATCCTCCTAGGCCAAGAACAGGAGCCCAGGCCCTGATCTGATGAAGATTCTGGCTGTAGGGCTCAAAGAAGTCACCCTGGGGTGATGCTCTGCAGGTTCAAGGCTGACTGGGAGGCACCCTGATATCCAGGCCCCCTCCCGACAGAATGGCTCCCTCTGGGGAGAGGAGCGGGCAGGAACAGGAAGCCAGAACTGGGAGGGAGATGAGTTGGGCAGATAGTTGAGGGTGGCCTGGAAGTTGGAATGAAGCATAACTTCCAACATTCCGCCCAGAGCCCGGGCTTGGGGCCATCTCTCAGCCTGTGGGGTCACTCTCGGCCAGACTCTCTCTGATTTCTGCCTCCCCAAACTTCCCATTCCCCCAGGCTCAGCCTCTTAACCCCCTCCTGCCCTCCTCACCAGGAGACTCACCCTGACTGTTTTCCTCCCAAGTCCCCAGAGTGAGGATGAGAGAGGACATCACAGAATGACCATATCACCATTGCAAGGCCAGCAGATGCAAGAGCCATTTCACAGTTCAGTTGAGGCCCTTGGAGTCTGAGGTCTTGCCAGCAACTTTGTGACAGGACAGACACCCCACCCAGAACCCTCACCTCCCCAGGTAGGACTCATTACAACCACGTCTGATATGGCACAACCCTGACCCAATCACAATCACACTGCTTGCCCTTGGCCTTCTTGGGGTCTCTGGAGGCCTGTGCAAAGTCAGTGCTGGCCATGATAACATTCAGATCCTCCTGCCCCACCCCAGAGATGAAGGAGCTAATGGAAAGGGTTTGGGAACTGCAAGGTGCTGTTCTCTCCCCTGCATTTCTTGGTCCCTGGTCTGGCCTGTAGCTCCAGAGGTCTGGAGAGACAGACCCCGCCTCTTGAATAACATCTACCAAAGAGAGGGGCAGGCTCCCCATGGCCCCCACCTCAACTTCCACCCCATGTAGCCCCAAGAGAAGAGCAGACTTCCACCAACTGGCCACCCTGAACACCCCATCCCTCATCTAGGGTCCCTGGAGCGAGGCTCAAGGAGCTGCAGTAGGGACAGGCACCCGTCTGCTCACCAGGACCGAAGGTCTTGTGGAGACACTCCAGGTTAAACTTGAGCATCTCCACCTCGGGCGAGGGGCCTCCTTCGAAGCTGTAGTAGGTGGTCAGGTAGTCCCTGGGCATGAAGTTCTTCTGGTACTCATCACCTCCCGTGAAGCTGCGCTCCATGGTGGCCAAATGCATGCCCTCCTGCCTGCCTGGATCTTTTAAGATTCCAGGGCTCCAAACTCCACCTCCAGAAATCTGATCTCATTCCTTAGCTCCTCCCAGGCTGACCTCTCCTTGAGCTGTCCCTTCTGGGGAGATGCAGAAGGGGGACCCAGGGACACACACTCCTCCCAGCACACTAGTTTCACTGAAGTTCCTTTGAACCCAGAGTCATGTCAGTGAGGTTGTAGCTGCCCAGGCCCCCTACCCCCAGCTGCCCAGGCCCCCTACCCACTCTGACCTCTGTCTGTCAGTGGTGCCCTATTCTGGGTCCTCAACTCTACCAACCATGTGCTGCTGTGTGACCTTGACCAGATGCCAGGCCTGTTTCCCCATCCATCACTGGCTATAAGAACCACAGGTCATAAGAACCTAAGCTACAAGGGCTCTGGTAGATTCCAGGTGTCACAAGTCTGACATACAGTGAGGACCCCTAGTGCCTCTAGTGATCAGTGGGACCCTGTGACTCCCCCCAATCCAGGCAGTGGGTTTGGCTCTGCACACCCCAGCCTTCTCTGGAGGACATTGTTCAGACCCTAAGGGCAGAACAGGATGGCTGACTACGCATCACTGTATAGGCCCCTAGAGACCAGAGAACAGCCATGCTCCATGAAAAGGACAAGGGAGCCCTGCCACATAACATGAGCAATCAGCAGAGTCCTGGACCCTGGCTGCCGACTCTTCGCATGACCCCAGCAAAGTCATTCCCCACACCTCAGCGTTCTTCCCTGTAAAATGGGAGTGGGGTGTAAAACCTCCTACAGGAAGGTTGGCCTCCTTTTCTGGCACAGGAAACAGCTCTGTCTTGGCCACAAACCAGACAGAAACGAATCTGCTACACTGGAGGTCCAGGCCTTCTGCCCTGGAAGTGGGAAGGACAAGAACATCTTGTTCTGGCTTTCAGTAAACAAACAATTCTGACCCCCTAGGGCCCGACGGACTGAGGCCTCCACAGAGGCAGCAATACCCAGTGGTCATGCAGGGCCTGCTTTCCAAGGCTTGGGCACCCAATGGCCTCCAGGGATGCTTGGGACATGGCGCCAGTCTGTGAAAGACACCCAGGGCGGTCAGGAGCCTGAAGCACTCACGTCACATAGAATTGAGGGGAAACCACAAAATACTATTAGAATTCTCCGCAGAAAGAGAATCAACAGCTATGTGTGTCTATAGCCAGCTACCTAGATGAGTAAGAGACGGAGAGGGATGGAGGCAGAAGGAGAAGGGGAGAGGGAGGGAGAGAGAGAGGGCTGTATGTACACGATACAGGTAGTCTAGACACGGAGAAAAAGCAAATGTTGTTTCAACCTGAAGGGTGAAGACCATCAGGCTGGAGAACCCCAGAAACAGCCAATTCAAAAGCCCATTCAAATCCATAGGCCATCTGCTGGCCAACTTCCCTCTAGCTCAGAGGAGGTGCTTGGTTCTATTCAGGCTGTCCATTGAGTAAGGGGCTCAACCACATTATGGAGTTCAGTTCACTTTGCTGAAAGTCCACCAACTGAAATGTTAACATCACCCAAAGCATCTTCATGGAAACATCCAGCATAGCATTGGATCATATATCAGGCATCATGCCCGACCAAGTTGACAAATAAAATTAACCACCACAGTTCTCCATAGTTGGTAGCAGGAAGGAGCCATCGTCAGTTCTAGACCTGAGACAGAGCTATCTGGAGGACTATTGCAGCGAAGGAGCTGAAGAATATACATCCTCACTCTCTTACCTCCTGCAGAATCCAGCTGAAATCCAGAGGGCAAGGAGTCAGTAATACAGTGCACATTAACCCGTCTCCCAGCAGGAGGCAGAAGGATGGAAGCTAGGTGTCGAGGAGGCTCTAGAAGATGCCATCCCATTAATCTTTACAAATTGAACTGTGGATATCTGGGGGCTATCTGGAGGTGCCCAGAGACCCCTGCAGTGTGGCGTGTGGGCATCCAGGTGTTTGCTTGGCTGGGGGCAGGAGGAGACTGCCCTTTCCCGAGCTATTCGTGGTACTAATATTAGATATGTTTGAATGGACAGAGGAGGCCCTAAGGGTGTCCAGTCCTTCTGGCTGCCCAGAGGAATGAATTCCAATCCTGCTGGCATTCCAAAGCCAACGTCGTCTTCCTCTGACCCAGCCACCTCTTCACCATGTCCACTCTCTCCATCCCAACACACATGCTGCCTCTGGCCTGGCCCGAGTTCTTCTTAGCACTAGGGTAATCTGCTCAAAATCAAGTCTTTTATGGATACATTTTAAGGGAAGATTCCTCCAACCTTCACACCATTGACATATCAGGCCAAATAATTCCTTGTAGGGAGGGGCAGGGAGGCTGACCCATGCAGATATCCAGCAGCATCCCTGACCCTACCCACTAGATGCCAGTAGCACCTCATTGTTGTGACACCAAAAATGTCTCAGACATGGCCAGGGGCAAAGCCACCTCCTCTCCCATTGAGAACCACGGTCTTCATCCACCTGGCAACACTGTCCTGCCTGGGAGTTACCATCCCTTTTCAGAAAATCTGCATCATCTGAAGCATCTTCCTGTCCTGTAACTTCTGTCTAGCTCTTGGAAATTTCCACTCAAGAAAACTTCTGCCTTAATTTCGAGTAAATGAGCAAATTGTAAGCTACCTATCAAGAAAATAAGACCTCTTGGGAGTCAACCAAATGAGAAAAGGATCAATCTCCTCTCAAGATTAGGAAAACGACCATCTCAGCATCCCGCACCCCTGACATCCTGTTATCTCTCTTCCCGCCTGACCCTGGGGTGAAGAAAGAAGTCCAGAGCTTGCAAGTGTAAACAAGATTTTTCTCTGGTGAGTTCTAATTGGCCATGAAGAGCCTCATCTCATGCCAAACACCAAAATAAAAGCGAAATGTCTTTTTAAAACTTAATCACAGAAGCTACCACAATTGACTATCAAATTTCTGGATAGAGAAGGATTTTTGAAGCTTAGGTGAAGAGAGCATATTTTATTAGAGAAAAAATGAAGCAATTATTTGCCCTAAATATATTAAACGGCAAAAGCATTACCTTCCCTTTGGGAAAACAATTTGGCAATTATTTGACTAAATTATTGATGCTAGACTATTTACAACAAAAACTTCAAACCTTGACCCAATAATCCTACATCTAGAAATCCAGACTAAAACCAGAATCCAAAACACAGGAAAAGTTTAATATGCATTGATTACACTATTTACAAGGAAATCTGCAAGTCTCTGACCTAGTGACAGTCACTAGGGGAGCAGCTAGGACAACCTGGCTGAGCCTCTGGATACTGTTTATTAGCGCTAAAATCTACCACTTCCAGAGAACTTAGAGTCATGACTCAGAGGGATGGTGCTGACCCAGCTGTGAGAACAAGGCAGGCACAGACGGGCACACGCAGCAGCATCACAGCCTGGAAGAGCATTTCAGATGCGGGTATCCAGAAGCAAATCACCATGTAACAAACCCTCAGAAAAAAATGATATGTTCAGTATCACCAATCATTTTAATCCTCCTAGAAATTGTGTTCATTGGATTTTAACATTGAAATTCTGTTCTAATAAAGTGGCTAGCTGTCTCATTTTTCTTTTATCCAACTGGGTAGGCCATCTCGTTGCCATCACCATTTATTATATCATTAACTCTTTTCTGGCTGAATTGAAATTCCACAGATAAGTAATTTCAGGAAAGGGGACATTTACATTTAACACAGTAAAATTAGAGTTTATATTCTGTTGAAACTCAAAAACCTGAAAAATTAATGTTAATTGCTTCGAATCTAGACAGTAGGGACTAAAGGGCTTTGTTACTTCAAAGTGTGCCATTTCCATGTTCCTGTGAGCTGTTAGAAATGAGAATCTCAGAACCAAGATCTGCACTATAAATCGGTCCCCTGGGGATTCCCAGGCACACTGGTTTGTACACCCTGCAAAGGGAAGCTGACAGGCTGGTGGGGGGCCAGCAGAGTGTGATGGGTACAGGATAAGGTTTGCAGTTGGTCTGCAATTTTTCTTTGGACACTAGACTTCAGTTTTCCTCTGGACCCAATTTCTTGCTTCCAGGGCTTTCTTGAGAAAAGCCATGTCCGTCACCTTCCACTTCCTCATCTTGGCGGGGACGGTGCGGGGGGTGGGGGGGGTGTCAATGTCTACTTTGCAGACTCTTGTGAAGAAGGCAGAGAATGGGGCATGCCTGGCACACAGTAGGTACTTGGTGGGTATTATCCACCTTTCCAGGTGTCCTCCTTGGTGCTGTTTATTCAACATCTGCGGGAGAGTCAGATCACTACCTGCCCTAGATTTGCCTGTTTGAAAAACACACTAGAATTGGCTCTGAAATCACTGCTGCGGTGAACGTTTAAAAGAGATGTGGCAATTTTTTTTTAATATAAAAGTTTTTATTTTCAGGTCATTGAATATAGGAAATAATAGAGAGGTCCCCTGTACTCTTTACCAGCTTTCTTCCGAAGATAGTATCATTTAAAACAATAGCACCATATCACAACCAGAGATTGACATTGATACAACCTACTGCTGTTATTCATCTTTTTCTAGTTTTACTGTGTCTGTGTGCGTGTGTATTAAGTTCTATGCAATTTTATCACAGATCTTTTCATGTGTGCCAACACTTTAGAAATAACTTGTCTAAACAGAGGCTTCTCAGGGGCCCTGGCTAAGCTTACATCAGCCCAAAGCAAAAAGTAAGGGTTGATTAAGGAAATGGGAGGAATAAACAAGATTAAAAGGGGTGGGGTGGGGGAATATTTAGGCAAGTTTAGGACAAGCTGTTTTCAAGAACAAGCTCACTGACCTTGGTCAGTGAAATCTTAGCCATCTCTGAATCCTGTTTCCTGACCCTTCGGGGTCTTTCCACTCTGGTTGTTGCTTTCCCCTCCCTCCTCAAATCCCAAAGGGTAGCATCTTGACCTATTGTAGACTCTTGGTTTCTGTGTGTCTCTCTGTGACCTCTGTCCTTCTGCTTCATTCTCTCCCTCCCTGCAAAGCCCC